GCTGCTTCCTGAGACCTGTGTCCCAATGCACAGGGGCTTCCTGAGCCAGCCTTCCCATCCAGTGTGGCCTTGGTGGCCAAACACAGATCCCTGGGCTTTGATTGGGCTCCACTTGCTCAGAGGATCAGGGCCTTCATCCCTAGGATTTCCTGGCTGTGCCCCTGTGAGATGCTAATTAGAGAGACAGGAAGTCTGTGTGGGCCAGGGAAGAGCTGGGCTGCTCCACAGAGAGGTCCTTTGTGCCCAAAATGAAGCTCTGTGACCTGGGACCCCTGAGGCCAAATCCCTCGCTCAAAGCCTGGGTCCTTGTTCCCAAGTGTCAAGACTTTCTCCCAAGGGAACCTGGACAAAGTGGAACCCAGGGCAAGAGCACTGTGCTCCAGATTCTACAGGAAGGCAGCATCTATTGTTCTCTTGAGCTTCTTGGTCTCTCTGGCCTTTCTTTTGTCCGTAAGCCTTGTTTTTAGGAAGGAAGGAAAATGGGGGTGAGTTTTTCTATTATCTGGATGTGAAGAAAGGATCTTGAGAGCGTGTGGCCCAGCCTGGCCTCCTAGATGAGCTGTGCAAATGTTTGCCCTGCCCACTACCCCAGCCAAGCAGGTGTCTCCCTCACCTTGCAGCCTTCTTTCTCTATCCTTAGATACCAGAAGTCACTGCTGGCCTCACTGAGGCCTCCTCTCAGGAAGCGTGGATGGCTCTCCCCACCCTCCACTGACTCCCTTGTTTGTTGGAGTGGAGTATGGGAAGGGCCATTTCAATCTCATCATCTCTTCTGATCACAGATGCACCGCAGTGGAAGTATCTACAATAGGCAGATAACCAGGAGACATGGGTTGGCACAGCTGAACCCCAGGAAGCAGGCATCCCTGTTTGCCTCCATGTGCACGCATCGGGGACCCACTCACAAGGCAAGCCCGGGTCACCTGCCCTTTCAACCTCCTCACGGAGCCAAGGCCTTAGGAAGGAAATCCAGATGGCTGAGGTGATGCCTCAAGTTCAAAAAGTAGATCCGTCTAAAGCACAGAAGGAGGCCGCTCACCTTCCTGCTCAACAGTGGCTGGCCCATGGCTCCCCAGTTAATAGGATCAGTTTCCTTTTTCCAGGATCCAAAACCCAAATCTACTATCCGTGTTTCACTACTTTCACATGGAACTGTTGTGCTATAATCACAGTACTCTCCTTCCTGCCGTTCACTTAACAGATATTTACTAGTACTTCCTCTGTAAAACTCTAGGCTAAGCACTGGGAAATACGGTAACAGACAAGGCAGCGAGTGGGTGGAGGACACAGATAAGCAAACACTGCAAGGCAAAAAAAGGTTGCAGCCAGGAGAGTTTGGGGTTTGTGGGAATATCTGTGGGAAATCCAGGCTGAAGACATCCAGGAGGCCTTCCTGAGGGAGGCAGCATGAGGTGAAGGCCTAAAGATGAGTGAAGGGTAGCATGACCTACAGGGTGGTAGCAAGAAAAGAAATGCTTCCAAAAGAAGGAACAGCATGTGCTCAGAGATAGAAGTTCTATAGCTGGGCTCCAGGGGGAACTGTTCAGATAGACTTAATGCAAAGAATTGTACAATTCCGCAGACTTGGGTGATGGACAGCAGTGAGACCCTGGAGATGAGAGTGAGCCAGCATATACCTGCAAGTCTAAGTTGATTCGGTGAGAACTTAAATTAATGGTGACACCAGAGCCTTGACAGGAGGTAGGAAGATGGCTGAGACCAGGAGAAAGATGGGTGCTTGAGACCAGAGTATCCCTCTCTCTGCTGTGGATACTCACACCACCATCTCTCCCACTGAGGTCTTCCATGGTGCCGTAAAGCCTTTCTCTGTTTCTGGAGTTGCTCTGAACCCCAGCCCTCCTCCCTTGCACAGGGCTGCCTGCTGCTCTGACCCGTCCCTCCTCTGCCTCTCAGAGCTTCCGGTACCCTCTTGTCCCCTCCCACCCGCTCTCTGAGACTGTGTCTCTCACGGTATCTCCTCATCTGCCTGAATCAGTGTTTAGAAAATGTTTATGGAATAAAACAGTGTTATAATACTTTTATAACCATCCATTTCTCTCTAATAAAAAAGAAAAGATAAAGTCAGTGCCCTCCTCAGAGCAACTCAAAAAAAGAGTAGGCATTCGTTTTCTCCCCTAATCTCCATTATGAAGATGAGGAAACTGAGGGTGAAATACTTTGCCCTAGGCCAAGTGCAAGCAGTGGGCCTGGCTTCCAAATGCAGGCGGTCTGGCTGGATCCGCAGCCCCTGCTCTTAGTATGACCAACTCTGCTTCCACACACTGAAATGGTGCAGCCCTGCGTTTCAGTGCACGCATTTCAAGCTCTCATGTGTTATGTACACTGTAAAATATACACTGACATTTGAAAACTGTGAGTTACAATGATAAATATTTCCTACTATATTTTTGCATCCTAGGTGATCATTCAGTGCATCTACCTTGGCAATCACTGAGAGTAAAAGCTGCCAGTGGATGAAAGGAAGGGAATTAACATGCTCTCACTAATATCCATACTTTATAGAAACTTCTCATGCCTGCTAAGGGTCTGGTTCCTTGTTAGAGGTTTCGGATGTTAGTGATGAATGTTCAGAGCAATGCAGATTCTCAGGAGAGGCTGGGAGATTGGCTGGGAGGGAGAACAGGCTAGCATGAAGCCTGGCAGGGAGTGCGGCTGGGTTCAACCCAGGGTCCCTGAAGCTCATGATGGAACGATTTACTTCATTCTGGAACTATTTACTAGGTAAAGCTTGACAGCTTTATTCAGGAAGAAGCTGAAACAAGCACCACGGAACAACATATCATGTTTCTTAACTTTGGGCTGAAATTCTAACAGCTCAGCGTGGTATGGTACTGGTTATCCCAAGCTCATCAGAAGCTCTGATTTGAGATTAAAAGATGGCTTTACTTAATAAAAGATAAGGAAATGTGTGTATATTTACTTAATAAATGCAACCTGGTAGGCAAAAAACTTTCCAGATCTGGGACTGGAAGGAAAGGAGAGTCATGAATGGAACTCTTGGTGGTGTGGTTTTGATCAATGTAATAAACACTTGGTGAATACTGACCACAGGCTCGTACTCACTTGGGCACACTGCGTGCTCACATAGGATATCTTTAGTCTGCATGGCAACTTTACAAAAGGCAGAGTACAGGGAGTGGATAATTTACAAACAAAGAACTGGAAGCAATTTCCCCCAAATCATATAACTAATAGGAGGCTAGGCTATGAAGCAAATCCTGGTTCTGTTGCCCTCCAAAGCCTACTCCAAGAATGTGGTATACCCTAAGAATTTACTGTACATGTTTGCATGTAAAACAGACACAATAACTGCAAATATAGCAGGACAAACATAATGTCAGACCAGAAAGACAAAGTTAGTCCAGAAAAGGAATGCTGAGCCCTATAAATGCCTGGTAAGTCGTGTTGGGAAGGAGAAGTTTCCCTCACCATGAATTGGGAATACTGGTTTGGACAGAGGAATCATAGCCCAAATTTTTAGATAAAGAAATGAAAACACAAAGGGTAAAGCCACCAAAGGACTGTACGTTAGTGGTTGAGCCCTGTTGTCTCAATTGCCCTTACTGAATTTCTAAAATAAACCTGCCAGGAGCACACAAAGCAACTGTAGACAATACTGTCCTGCACAGCAAAGCCCAGGAGTGTCATGAAGATCACGGGACCTGAAAAATCTTGCAGGATTTGCTGACTATGAATTGGGCTTCTATTATGTGGACAGACCACAAAAAGCTTTTTCTTTGCCCCAAACAATCAGTGGCTCTCTGTTCTCCCTCTAACTTAGGGGCCTGCCAGATCTTATGATGGCCCATCTGGGCTACGTTATATTTCCCAAGGTTTAGTCTCTGTGAAAAGATGGATGGATATGATTATGGTATACATCTTCTATCAGTCAAGGTGGGAGAAAATAAACAGCCCTTGGTGTTAAGTGGATGCACTGTCTTGTACTGTATGCCTTTATATGTCTGTGCTTATGCTCTCTCCCTAATAGACGATGTACTGCACATGTTGGAAGGTCAGCCACAGACAAGAATGCAAATTGTCTGAGCTCAAAGGTCTTGTGCCAGGCCATTGCCTCCTCCTTCTGAAGAGCTGGGAGTTTGCTCATAGAGCCATGAGAAGCTGGGACCTTAGAACCATGACATAATAGAAACTTGGAGTAGAGTTGCCACATTTTAGAACTCATAGAATGGTAGCACCCTAATATTGTAGACGGTCACATTCAACTGTTAAAACTTCAGGATCCTAAATCTCTGGGATTAATCCATTTAACAAATATGTCTTTAATACCAAGTATATGCCACATACTATGCTACATTCTGGGGACAGAGAAGTGAACAAGACTTGTAAGTTTCCATAAGTTTTCAGAGAATGTCAGTATTTAAGAATCATAAAACGTTAGGTTAGAAAACCAAAGCACTGATGTGTTGAAATCCTTGAATGCCAAAGGTGAAGGGAAGCCTTAGATCATTCTCTCTGGCTCACTCTGGCTTTTATGAGCCCCAGAGCTTGCTGCAGGAATGTTGGATTAAAGTCTCACTAGTAAGAATATCATTCAATTCGGCCATATCACAGAATGGCCAGTTTAGAGGCTCAACGATCACCTTGTCTTGGCCAAGTGAAGCCACTGAGGCTTAGAAAGGAGTAGCAGTTTTTTGCTGGGTAATATAGACCAGTCAGAGGTAGATCCAGGCTTCTGGGCATCTCTCAAAGAAAAGGCAAGGCAGCTAAGGCGGCCGGTGTTATGGAGGTGCCTTTTGCGAGCTGAGCAGAGTTCTGCACCTCCCAGCTCTTCAGGAGTTCACACCAACTTTCTCTGCGGAGTCAGCAACCCCGCCCCCAGACCACGTGTGCAGTAGATCGCAAACTGTTGGGAGAGCCCCCCTCCCCCCGATGAGTGTTTTATTTTGCGCCCCCCCCCGTGTGCCTCAAAATCAATTTTCATTATTTTTTCTGTCTGTGTTTGTCTTTGTGGTTCGCAGGTGCGCCCTTGCATTGTTCATCCGCTTCATCAACCCCTATTGAGCAGTCCCCCTCCCCGCCCCCCTCCCCTCCGGCCAATGAGAGCCAGAGGCGGTTGCTAGGCAACGGTGTGGCCCAGCCAACCCCGGACTCAGACTCTGAGGAAGAGTTTGTCCCTAATTCATTCTTAGTTAAAAGTGGCTCCGCCAGCCTGGGGGTCGCAGCAAACGGTAAGTGTCTTTCTCTCTTCCTAACTTTTGTGGGTTTGTTTCTTGTATTTCCTTTCGTTGGCGATGCCTGCTCAGGCCGCTTGCAGGGGTGGAGGGGCCTGGTGTATGGTGGGCTCGCGGGGAGTTCGGGGCCTGGGCGGCTCGGTTGGCTGCAGCCCAGCTCCAGCTCCTGTCCTGGGGTTGCGCCGCAGGGGTTCAGGGAGCCTCTGGGATTGCTGCGCCCCCTCCCTGCTGACAGACAGGAGCAGGCAGACGCATGACTGAGTTGCACAGACAGGCCCCAGGAGACAGAAGCACCAGGTAGAGACCGAGACAGGTAAAGATACAAAGATCAACACAGGAGGAAAAGTAATGTCCGAATGTAAATAGCACTGATGGACTTCCTACTGTGGGCCAAGGACTGAGCCAGAGATTGTCACCTGCTGCTTTTTTTTTGGATGGTCTTCACTGCTCTACCTATGAGACCTATATGATAGAGTTTCCATTAACAACAAGAAAACTCGGAAAATTTCCTTAACAATGAGGCCCAGCACTGGCTCCTAAAGTTCTGGACCTTCACACAGCCTGGAGTCAGAGGCCCCTCAAGTGCCAGCCAGCTGCAGGGCTGACTGCTGGCTAAGGTAGAGCTGCTGGTTTGCAGCATGAATCTACCCATGACACGCTGTTTTCTAAGCTACCCTGGCTCTCCCGAGGAGAGGAGGTGCACAGAGTTTTGTGGGAGTGTTTAGGTTCACCAGGCCATCAGGTTGATCAGGAGCTGTTAGACCTGTGTGGAGATGCTTGCCTTCTCTGTGTCCAGTAGAGAGGGGCCAGTCCTTCTTTGCAAGGATGTTTTGCAGGGGATTCAAGCCTCTAAGGTAGGTGGGGAGGACAGTGAGGTAATCTGAGATCACCATCGAGTGCCCAAGGCGTCATGATTCTAGGAAAAGAGAACAAATGAGACCTAGACCATTCGCCCACAGAAAACCAAACCACCAAAGACTGTTGATTTGGCAAATGTTTATTTATAAGTCCCCTTGTGATGCTAAATTCCAGGCGAAACTCTAGTCACGGAAGTATTCAAGAAAGCGTAAAGCAGAGTCCATGGCAGAATTGAGATAGTTCTGCTAACTATAAGTGTATTGCTGGGCACATTGGGCAAGTCTCACTGCCTCTCTAAGCTGTCTCCACAAGCATAAAGGGGGTGGTACAGGACGCAGCTTGAAAGAACCTGTTTGTGAACGTTCCCACACCTCACCAGGTACTGAGACATGCTCCAAGACGGTCAAAGGGAATAGACCAAGACAGCCCACTGTGATAGGGAGGAAGGAGCCTAGTGTACTGGTGACAAGATGACTCAGGAAGGAGCTTCTGTGCAGCCTAGGGGAATGAGAAGTATCTACTGGCAGAGATGCTAGCAGGGTCTGTAGGAGGAAGACAGGTGTGTCCCCCAGAGATCACCAAGGGCATTAACCAAGAGCATTTGGGGCAGAGAGAAAACATGGACAAAGACACATTCGTGGGAGTCTAGGGTCCTTTAAACCTGGGCAGTAACAAGCACTGAGCACAGAACAGGATGGCTGCCTGGCAAAAGCCACCACAGCTCCTCTAGGTACTCCAGGCCGCCCACGAAGAAGGGAGGTTTGTTACCTACCTCCCTTCCTGGCTAGGACCTTCCCCAGCCTGTGCTGTCTTTGGAAACAGAGATGTTCAGCCTTCACGGCTCTCTTCTGACTCGGCTTTAAGCTCTGTATTGCCAATGACCAAAGCCTAGGCCATTTTCCAGGACCTATTACATCATGCTCCCTAACAGTGATGTGACGACCCGCTGGGTGTTGACTGTCACTGTGCATATTTCAGACAGTGTGCAGAACAGGAATCCTGGCTGGAGCGAGGGGAGCTGGGCTTCCAGCCCAGCTCTGTGGATACCTGTTTGTCCTTAGCAAATCACTGTTATGCTCCAGGCCTCAGTTTTCCCATCTTGCCACTGAAGGAACAAATCCTATGGTAGTCTGATTTTGTGAACATCATGTTGGTGGTGAGACTTGTCCTTGTCAGTAGCCTTCTTGAGCTTACTGGAGAAGAAAAATATATATATCTATATATTTCATATATAGATATATATATATACACACACGCATATAATATTCTCCATTCATTTCTGAATAACTAATCTTTGTAGGTGAAGAAAAGCAAGAGATTAAGGTCTGTAGCCTTTCCTCTTGCTAACTAACCAAGCAGGAGCAATTGCTTTGTTGCAAGTTCTGAGGCAAACTAAGGCGCTATTGCATTATTGATGTGCAGGGAAGGTGGGAACACTTTGGCCTGCAGCTGTCTGCTCAGTTCTGCTGCTGTGTGGTTCTGCTCCCCTCCGGGGCCATGAGACACTTTGGTTTCTTTCCCTGGGGACTTGATCTGCGTGGCACTGTAAGGATTGTTAATGAGTGTGTCCTAGGCCTGATGGGAGCGTCTGGGTGCTCACTGGTCTGCTGCTCTGGGGTTGGGATCCTGAGAGAGCCCACTGCATCTTAGCACATAGCTGGACCCTATCACCTGCCTTCCCATCCCCTGAAACCAGAGGACCTGCTAGTGCTGGCACGAACCTAGCACTAGCAAGTGACAATGTGGTCACACGTTGTGGGCCCAGTAAATGTGCATAGGGCAGTGGTATTGAACCTAGGGCATGAGTGTTATTTTTCTTTTAAGACAAAAGATATTAATGTGTGAGCTGTTCTTTCTAAACTAAAACCTCAGTATTCGGGTTTCATTGCACTTTGTGATAAATAAATGGGTTTTAAGTTGCAGTTTGGACACTCGTCTTTAAAGGATTCACCATCACTGGTATAGGGTTTTGTTTAACTTTGGGCAGTGAAAATATTTTAATGTAATTATCTTTAGTGATTTTGCTAATTATAAAAGCATCAATGTTTATTAACATTCAATTAATCCGGAGGGTAAGAGGTGACAGTCTCACATAAACCTCAGACTGAATCCCAGAGCACAACCCTAGGCAAGATGCCTCACCTCTCAGTTCATCAGTTGTTCCACCTGTGAAATGGGAAAATCTGCCAAGGTAATTATGGAGTTCAAAAGTGACAAAGCTGGCCAAATTCTCTAACTGCACACCATATCCCAGCCACCAATTTAAGGTTTGGAGACCTCCATAAACAGAACAATGCCTGTGAGGCCTGCTTCCCAGGAGACTTCATTCAGAGTATATTTTAAAATATAAAAGGACCTCTCTAGCTCCTGGAGGGTGACAACCATGCGTAGGCTTCCCTTAGTGGAGCTGACCTCTGGGAACCAGCTTGGGCTGCCTCTAGCTGCTCCTCTGGAGACCCTGGTCTGCAGCTGTGTCAACTTCAGCCCTAGGCTGGATGCCGGGTCTTCTAGGCCTCAGAACTACCCTGAGAAAATCCCCATGTAAAGTGCACAGAGAACACGTGGGACGGCGCAGCGCGGCTCATTGTCCCCAAGGAAAAGAAAACAAGGCAAGTAGCTCTTTCTGTCATCACAGCCCTAATCCTCCCCCAAGGGCACACATCCAGAAAGCACTGAGGTATACAAAAAAGATTTCACCAAAATATCAACTGGTCACGGTTGAGAAGCTGTGGAAGTGGTTGGGATTAAGCAGGCATTTGTCCCTACCCCATAGAAACTTTTCAGAATAAATATTAGATGTTTCATGAATTATTCTAATCTCAATTTTGAAGTGAGGAGGCTTTGAAACGTGGGGGTTAGTATTTAAGAGGGTCAGGGGATAAATCACTGAGAAGGCTGTGGAGAATTTCTCAAAACTGAGGGGAAGAAGGGTTGGTTAAAAAAAAAAAAAGGACAACCATTGAGTATATTCTGGCCATTGTCTACACTTCAGTTTATGTACGACCTCTGTTCAGGAAACTGAGGCCCAGGAACTTACCCTGCTACTCGCAGTAAAGGATAGGGCAAAGATTCAAAACCAAGTCTGCTTGATGCCAGAGCCCCTTTCTTTCTTGCTTTCCTTTACCTTTCTCTCTTTCTTTCCTTCTTTTTCTTCCTTCCCTCCCATCTTCCCTTCTTCCCCTCTTGCCTCTTTTCTCATCTTTGGGGTTTTTTTTCCAATAAGAGATTCTATAATCTCCATATCCTCCTTCATAGGAGGCTGGAGAAAATAAGAGGAAATCCACCAAAGAAAAGCTGGTTTTTAAAAGAATTCCTGGCTATTGACTTCCTATTACCTCATAAAGCTTAGTTAGGCACCCAGTTCCTTAGAAGCATTTTAATCTCATGGAATCGTTGATTCTTATCTACACTGTGAGGTTACCTGTTTTAGTCTCATTGAAATAATACAGGCTCAGAATGGTTAGTAATTTCTTTGAAGTCAAACAGCTCCTAAGTGGTAGACGTGGATTTGAATGCACGTCTGTCTGATATCATAGCATGGGATCTTTCCTCTGTGTTTTCTGTTTCTTTTTTTTTTTTTTTTTTTTTTTTTTTTTTTTGTTTTTTCTCTGGTACCAGGAACCGAACTCACGACCTTGCGCTTGCCAGGCAGGCGCTTTGCCGCTGAGCTAAATCCCCAGCCCCTGTGTTTTCTGTTTCAAAGATGAATCAGATTGATATCGGGGTGATGTAAGACCTCCAATAATCTGAATACAAAGGAAATATTATAACTGCCAATCTGTTAGCCTGCTAGATTTCCTATACACTGGGTTAGTGTTCTCTAAAACCGAAGAATGAATTCTAGGAACAGCAAAGGTTTAAGAGCAGAAAATATTTACTGGGGGAAAGAAAACAAAATTTATTAAGGGAAAGAAAGCTTCTCTCTAAGGAGATAGAAGGGTCCCAAGTAGGTTGCTGGGGATCCCAGCTTCTCAAGGGAGTTTTATAGAGCAAAACCAAGAGGTGAGGAGGGTCTCAGGTGGGACAACTATAACCAACTAATAAGATTACAAGTATAGTTGCTTAGGTAACATTGATCCAACAGGATATCACAAGGTGGGTATGAGGTAGGACAAAACTGTAATCAACTAGTAAGATTA